CTCCCCACAGTCCTGATCAACCGCACTCCCCACTCTCCCCACAGCCCTGATCAACCCACTCTCCCCATAGCCCTGATCAACCCCACTCTCCCATAGCCCTGATCAACCCCACTCCCCCCGCTCTCTCCCCACAGCCCTGATCAACCCCACTCCCCCACTCTCCCCACAGTCCTGATCAACCCACTCCCCCACTCTCCCCATAGCCCTGATCAAGCCCACTCCCCAACTCTCCCCATAGCCCTGATCAACCCCACTCCCCAACTCTCCCCATAGCCCTGATCAACCCCACTCCCCAACTCTCCCCATAGCCCTGATCAACCCCACTCCCTCACTCTCCCCATAGCCCTGATCAACCCCACTCCCCCCGCTCTCTTCCCACAGCCCTGATCAACCCCACTCTCCCCACAGCCCTGATGAACCCCTCTCTCCCCATAGCCCTGATCAACCCCACTCCCCCACTCTCTCCCCATAGCCCTGATCAACCTCACTCCCCCGCTCGCTCCCCGTAGCCCTGATCAACCCCACTCCCCCGCTCTCTCCCCACAGCCCTGATCAACCCCACTCCCCGCGCTCTCCCCATCAGCCCTGATCAACCCCATCCCCCACTCTCTCCCCACAGCCCTGATCAACCCCACTCCCCCCAGAGCCCTGATTAACCCCACTCCCCCCACTCTCTCCCCACAGCCCTGATCAACCCCACTCCCGCACTCTCCCCATTGCACTGATCAACCCCACTCCCCCACTCTCCCCATAGCCCTGATCAACCCCACTCCCCTGCTCTCTCCCCATAGCCCTGATCAACCCCACTCCCTCACTCTCCCCACAGCCGTGATCAACCCCACTCCCCCACTCTCCCCATAGCCCTGATCAACCCCACTCCCTCACTCTCCCCACAGCCCTGATCAACCCCACTTTCTCCATAGCCCTGATCAACCCCACTCTCCCCACAGCCCTGATCAACCCCACTCTCTTCATAGCCCTGATCAACCCCACTCTCCCCATAGCCCTGATCAACCCCACTCCCCCCGCTCTCTCCCCACAGCCCTGATCAACCCCACTCCCCACTCTCCCCACAGCCCTGATCAACCCCACTCTCCCCATAGCCCTGATCAACCCCACTCCCCCACTCTCCCCATAGCCCTGATCAACCCCACTCCCCCGCTCTCTCCCCACAGCCCTGATCAACCCCACTCTCCCCACAGCCCTGATCAACCCCACTCCCCCGTTCTCTCCCCACAGCCCTGATCAACCCCACTCTCCCCACAGCCCTGATCAACCCCACTCTCCCCATAGCCCTGATCAACCCCACTCCCCCGCTCTCTCCCCATAGCCCTGATCAACGCCACTCTCCCCATAGCCCTGATCAACCACACTCCCCCGCTCTCTCCCCATAGCCCTGATCAACCCCACTCCCCCACTCTCCCCACAGCCCTGATCAACCCCACTCCCCCACTCTCTCTCCATAGCCCTGATCAACCCCACTCCCCCACCTCTCCCCATAGCCCTGATCAACCCCACTCCCCCACTCTCTCCCATAGCCCTGATCAACCCCACTCCCCCCTCTCCCCATAGCCCTGATCAACCCCACTCCCCCACTCTCCCCATATCTCTGATCAACCCCACTCCCCACTCTCCCATAGCCCTGATCAACCCCACTCCCCCACTCTCTCCCAAGCCCTGATCAACCCCACTCCCCCACTCTCCCAGCCCTGATCAACCCCACTCCCCACTCTCTCCCCATAGCCCTGATCAACCCCACTCCCCACTCTCCCCATAGCCCTGATCAACCCCACTCCCCACTCTCTCTCCATAGCCCTGATCAACCCCACTCCCCCACTCCTCCCATAGCCCTGATCAACCCCACTCCCCCACTCTCTCTCCATAGCCCTGATCAACCCCACTCCCCCACTCTCCCCATAGCCCTGATCAACCCCACTCCCCCACTCTCTCTCCATAGCCCTGATCAACCCCACTCCCGCACTCTCCCCAAAGCCCTGATCAACCCCACTCCCCCACTCTCCCCACAGCCCTGATAGACCCCACTCCCCCACTCTCTCTGCAGAGCCCTGATCAACCCCAGTCCCCTGCGGAGAGAGCGGGGGAGTGGGGTTGATTTGGAAGCTCTTTTCAAAGAGCCAGAGGGGCTGAATGGCCTCCTTTTGTGCTGTATGATTCTATGGTCGCTCAACCCATGACTGTTCATGGACACATCCGTGTGCACAATTGGCTGCCGCGTTTCGCTCACAAAACACACAGTCACTACATTTCACAGTGCGTCTCTCTGGTGTGATCAGGGCGGCACCAAATATGAGGATTGTTACAAAATCACAAGTGTGGGGGAGGCTCAGCGCTGCGGAGGAGAGCACTGCCACCAGGTGCTGCACATGCGCACACCCCGGCTGTGCAGGCAGGAAGGAACTACAACTCCCAGCATGCCCTGCGCCGCGCAGCATCCGCTTCCGGCTCTGGGATACATCACGTGCTCCCGCCGCCGAGGGTCATATGATCCACAGCCAAACCCTGAGCCGGTGAGTGACACAGACCCTCACACACAGTGGGCGGGGGGGCGGTTGGGGGGAGCGCGGGGGGGCGGTTGGGGGGGGGCGGTTGGGGGGGAGTGGCCACTACAGCGTGTGAGATTGGGGATAAACGCGGGTAATGTTCACCATATAATAATCCTCTGATTCTCCCGATTGTTTAGGTCCGTGAGGAAAAGCCGCGGTTGGTGCCTAACCCGTTGGGGTGTGGCTGTAGGTGCTGTCCCACTGGCAGAGTAACGGAGCCCCACGGGCCGCGGGCTGGGCTGGGCTGGGCTGGGCTGGCTGTGTGTGAGGCCGTGGGGGGTGGCAGGCCGGGCACTGCCCGTTGTGGGGAGATGGCTCACTGCGATGTGATGGTGAACAGTGACCGGAGCGACTGGGTCCTGAGCGAGGAGGAGGAGAGCAAGCTGCTGCCGGGCGCTGTTGCTGAGTCCCGGGGGCATGGCCCTGGCAAGCCTGGCGGGGACACCTCTACCCTTGGGGCTGTGTTTATCGTGGTGAATGCCGCGCTGGGGGCCGGCTTGCTCAATTTCCCCTACGCCTTCTACATGGCGGGAGGGGTGGCAGCCGGCATTGGCCTGCAGATGGTGAGCCGCTGGCGGGTGGGGGGCAACGGTGGGCGGGCGAAGGGCTTACTGAAAGCCACAGGGTCCAAAACACGGACTGTCCAGGGCCTTGGGACATCCTCCTGACGTGAAAGTAATTTTGTTGTTGTTGTTTGTTGATTGGTAGAGATGAGCGCGATGGCCTCGCAGGCGAGAGGACCCGGGTTCAATTCCCTGGAGTGATGCGAGTTTGCTTACTCCTCACTGTTCTTGCTGTTCAGGCTCTGCTGGTGTTTATCGTGGGGGGGCTGCTGGTGCTCGCTCACTGCTCAAGGCTCAGCGGGGAGACCACCTACCAGGAGGTGGTGCGGGCGGTCTGCGGCCCCGTCACCGGCACCATCTGCGACATCCTCATCGTCATCTATACCTTCGGCACCTGCATCGCCTTCCTCATCATCATCGGGGACCAGCTGGAGAAAAGTGAGGTGCAGGGAGGGCAGGGAAGGGGTCATTAGGGTCAGGGGTCTCTGGGGGAGGGGCCAGAGGAGGGTTTGGGGGGCTCTGGGGAGGTTGGGGGAGTGGGGTTCCCTGGGGAGGGTGGGGGCCCGGGCAGAGGGTGGGGGCTGGGGAGAGGGTGGGGGCGGGAAGGAGTAGGAGGGCTTTGTGTGAATGAGGCAGGGCACAGGGAGGTGCAGCCTGTCCTGAGCTGGGAGTGTCTGGTTGGGGGGGATTGGGGGGAAGCTGTGCTGTGGCCTCACTGACTCAGATTCTCTCAGTAACAGACAGGCCTCAGGCGAGGGGTGACAGTGTGGGGGGGGGAAGGGTCGACGGTGTGAGGGGAGAGGGGGTGACGGTGTGGGGGGGGGAAGGGCTGACGGTGTGGGGGGGAGGGGTGACGGTGTTTGGGTGGGGGTGTGGTGGATGGCGGTGTGTGTAGGGGGGGAGGCGGTGTGTATAGTGGGGGTAGCGGTGTGTGTAGGGGGGGTGGCGGTGTGTGGGGGTGGGTACCATGTATGGGGGTGAGTACGGTGGGTGGGGGTGGCGGTGCGTGGGGATGGGTACCATGTGTGGGGGTGAGTACGGTGTGTGGGGGTGAGTACGGTGTGTGTGTGTGTGACCATGCCCTCTGGTTACAGTAATTTCTGCCCTGGAGCTTGTGGCAGGAGGAGACACCAACAGCCATTGGTACAGCGATCGGAAATTCACCATCTCCCTGACCTCCATCCTCCTCATCCTCCCGCTCTCCATCCCCAAGGAGATCGGCTTCCAGAGATACGCCAGGTCAGTGTCCTCCCCTCCCCTGACCCCGCCGGCACCGTCATTTTATATTCACTTTCAAAAGGGAACTTGGAAATACACAGAGTCAGCAACAGAGGGAAGTGTGACTGAAGCGATTGCGTAATGGCCTTCTGTGCTATGAATGAGTTTTTCTCTCTCTCTCTCTCTCTCCCACCTCTAACTCTCTCACTTTCCTATCTCTTCTCATAAGTAAAACCCCTCATCCTAGGGATTGTTCTCGAACCTCCTCCGTACCCCCTCAAGGCCCTAACCACCCCACACTGATGAGAGAATCGCTATAGAACCTGGTTGTTAGTTGATTAGTGGATCAAAAAGCATTATATCAAATGCAAGAATTATTATTATTATCCTACCTGAAACCACCTATTTAAATGCAAGTGGTTGTTAAAACCATATAACTTGCCATTGAGAGCGCAAGCTTTCCCACTGTTTATCCAGCTAGGAGAGAGGAAGGCTGTGAAATCAGAGGAGGTGGTGCACAGGGAGTTTAGATGGAGGTTGAAATCAGCCATTATGAGCAGGTGTTCAGTGCAGAGGGACAGGTATAAGAGGAGGAGATATCGGTGAGGAAAGAGACAGAGGTTGGGGCGGGGGGGGCGGTAGACTCCAAGAGCGAGAGAAGGCAAGGAGGGCGATAGGAGAGAAGGACAGAGTAGGAGTAGCGGAATGTGAGAGGTGGGAGCAGGAACATTTTCAGAGGGAGCAGCCTTTTTTCTTGAGTGATTATTATCAGGGTGTGAAGTAAGGAAACTTGCCCAAGGGTTTGGGAATCAAACCCAGGTCTGTTGCTTGCGAGGCGAATGCTCTAACCACTGAGCTACAGGACTCCACGAAATGGAGCTACAGGAAATGGCATCTCCGCGACTGGAGCAGCCGAACCTTCACCACCGCTCGTTCGCTCACCCGTGGCCTCGGCGGTTCCTCGCATTCGTTATACAGGCGGGGGTTTGAAATTTCTCCCCCTGACAGTGCCCTCCCACGGCCAACCTCGCCCGGCTTTCGGCAACCAAAACCTTCAAGCCTCGCTGCTCACGTCTCCCCCTTGGTTTAGGTTTCCCGAGGCCCCCGCCGATCGCTGACTCATGACTGAGAGACACTGCGAGCCTGTGTGTGCATCTGTCTGTCTCTTTCTCTTTGAGCCTGTGTGTGTGTATGTGTCTTGTCTATCTCTCTCACTCTGAGCCTGTGTGTGTGTTTGTGTGTTTGTGAGCCTGTGTGTCTGTGTGTGGGTGTGTGTGTGTGTCTTTGTGAGCCTGTGTGTTTGTGTGTGTGTGTGTATTTGTGAGTCTGTGTGTGTGTCTTTGTGAGCCTGTGTGTGTCTGTGTGTGTGTGTGTGTGTGTAAACATACAAACTGTGTTATGATGGTCACTAAACGAGGTTTGTGTTATCTCATTTCCTCTGAACTTGCGTTTGTGTGTGTGAGGGTGTGTGGGTGGGTGTGTGGGTGGGTATGTGTGGGCATGTGAGGGTGTGTGGGTGGGTATGTGTGGGCATGTGAGGGTGTGCGTGGGTGTGTGAGGGTGTGTGTGAGGCTGCCCTGGATACAGTGTATTGCCAAGTGCTCTGAGACGCTACCTTGGGTGAGGGGCGCTATATTGCTGCTGTTGTTCCAGGTAATAATTCTTACCATCTAGTCAGCACCTTTCCCCAGGATCTCAGCCCCTCACTGTACATCAGTCTTGTTATTGCCGCCCTGCGTGCCCACTCCCTCTCCCACCCCATCATCACCCCCACCAGGCTCCGTGACCCTACCACCCCCATCATCACCCCCACCAGGCTCCGTGACCCTACCACCCCCATCATCACCCCCACCAGGCTCCGTGACCCTACCACCCCCATCATCACCCCACCAGGCTCCGTGACCCTACCACCCCCATCATCACCCCCACCAGGCTCCGTGACCCTACCACCCCCATCATCACCCCCACCAGGCTCCGTGACCCTACCACCCCCATCATCACCCCCACCAGGCTCCGTGACCCTACCACCCCCATCATCACCCCCACCAGGCTCCGTGACCCTACCACCCCCATCATCACCCCCACCAGGCTCCGTGACCCTACCACCCCCATCATCACCCCCACCAGGCTCCGTGACCCTACCACCCCCATCATCACCCCCACCAGGCTCCGTGACCCTACCACCCCCATCATCACCCCCACCAGGCTCCGTGACCCTACCACCCCCATCATCACCCCCACCAGGCTCCGTGACCCTACCACCCCCATCATCACCCCCACCAGACTCCGTGACCCTACCACCCCATCATCACCCCCACCAGGCTCCGTGACCCTACCACCCCCATCATCACCCCCACCAGGCTCCGTGACCCTACCACCCCCATCATCACCCCCACCAGGCTCCGTGACCCTACCACCCCCATCATCACCCCACCCAGGCTCTGTGACCCTATCACCCCCATCATCACCCCCACCAGGCTCCGTGACCCTACCACCCCCATCATCACCCCCACCAGGCTCCGTGACCCTACCACCCCCATCATCACCCCCACCAGGCTCTGTGACCCTATCACCCCCCATCCTCGCCCGACTCCACTGGCTTCCCATCACACAGAGGATATAGTTCAAGATCCTGGTCCTCACCTTCAAAGCCCTCCATGGTTTTGCTCCCCCCGACCTCTGTGACCTCCTAACCCCCTACTATTCTGTGTGTGTGTGTGGGTGCCTGCGCGTGTGTGGGTGCCTGCGCGGGTGTGGGTGCCTGCGCGGGTGTGGGTGCCTGCGCGGGTGTGGGTGCCTGCGCGGGTGTGGGTGCCTGCGCGGGTGTGGGTGCCTGCGTGGGTGTGGGTGCCTGCGCGGGTGTGGGTGCCTGCGCAGGTGTGGGTGCCTGCACGTGTGGGGGTGGCTGTGTACGGGGGCGCTCTGAGATGCCTTCCAGCGTTGAGGGCTCTATATAAATAAGTTGTTGTTGTTGCGTGTGTGGGTGCCTATGCGCGTGGGTTCCTGTGCGCTTGGGTTCCTGTGCGCTTGGGTGCCTGTGCGCGTGGGTGCCTCTGTGTGTTTCTGTGTGTGTGTGTGTGTGTGTGTGTGTATGTGTCTGTGAGCCTGTGTGTCTCTGTGTGTGTGTGTCTCTTTGTGAACCTGTGTGTCTGTGTGTGTGTGTGTGTGTGTGTGTGTCTATGAGCCTGTGTGTCTCTGTGTGTGTCTCTGTGTGTGTGTGTCTTTGTGAGCCTGTGTGTGTCTCTTTGTGAGTCTGTGAGCCTGTGTGTGTGTCTTTGTGAGTCTGTGTATGTGTGTGAGTGTGTGTCTTTGTGAGCCTGTGTGTCTCTGTATGTGTGTGTGCGCGAACGGTATGTTAGCATTCATTATGAAAGGATTAGAGTATAAGAGTAGGGAAGTCTCGCTGCAACTGTATAGGGCCCTGTGAGACCACACCTGGAATACTGTGTGCAGTTTTGGTCTCCTTATTTAAGGAAGGACATACTTGCCCTGGAGGGGGTGCAGCGTAGATGTACTCGGTTAGTACCAGGGATGAAGGGGTTGAGTTACGAGGATAGGTTGACCAATTTGGGTCTATATTCTCTAGAATATAGAGTTGAGGGGATCTTATAGAAACCTATAAGATCATCAAAGGGCAATGATAGAGTAGATAGTGGGAGATTGTTTCCCCGGTCGGAGAAACTAAAACCAGGGATCACAACCTTAAAATCAGAGGCAGCCCTTTCGCACTGAGTTGAGGAAGAACTTCTTCACTCAAAGGGCAGTGAATGTATGGAACTCACTACCCCAAAGGGCTGTTGACGCTCAGTCCTTGAACATATTCAAGACTGAGATAGATATGTAGGTAGGTAGGTAGGTAGGTAGGTAGGTAGGTAGGTAGGTAGGTAGGTAGGTAGGTAGGTAGGTAGGTAGGTAGGTAGGTGGGTAGGTAAGTAGGTAGGTAGGTAGGTAGGTAGGTAGGTAGGTAGGTAGGTAGGTAGGTAGGGGTAGGTAGGTAGGTAGGTAGGTAGGTAGGTAGGTAGGTAGGTAGGTAGGTAGGTAGGTAGGTAGGTAGGTAGGTAGGTAGGTAGGTAGGTAGGTAGGTAGGTAGGTAGGTAGGTAGGTAGGTAGGTAGGTAGGTAGGTAGGTAGGTAGGTAGGTAGGTAGGTTTCTTATTGCAAAAGGGATTAAGGGATATGGGGATAAGGCAGCGTCAGGTTATTAGTTGGAGTTGGATTAGAAGATCAGCCACGATTGAATGGCGGGGCAGAGGCTCGAAGGGCCGAATGGCCTCCTCCTGCTCCTACATGTCATGTTATGTCTCTTTGTGAGCCTGTGTGTGTGTGTCTCTTTGTGAGTCTGTGCGTGTGTGTCTCTCTCTCTCTTTGAGCCTGTGTGTGTGTGTGTGCGTGTGTTTCTGTCTCTGATCCTCTGTCTCTCTCTCTCTGCAGTGCTCTCAGTGTGATGGGAACATGCTATGTAACCAGTGTGGTCATCATCAAATACATCCGGCCTGACCAAGATCTCGTCCCTGGGGACATCCCCACCAGGTCAGTGACCCTCCCCGTTAGTGCCCTACCCCCGAACTGTGTTGATGAGGGCTGCGCTTTCGGTCACTACGTCCCAAAACTCTGGAACATTTTTCCTCTATCTTGCCCCTTCCTTCCCCATCTTCAGGTCGCACCTGAAGACCTCTCATCGACATTGCCCACGATCACCTCCCACTCCCCCCCCCTGCTCGGCCTCGTGCTCTGCCACTGGCAAGCGCTCTGGGGCGCTTCCCTGCGTGAGGAGCCCTGTTTAAATACAAGTTGCTGCTGCTGTTGTGAACGAGTGAGCGAGCTCTAGGACATGTTCCTGTGAGCGAGAGGCAGTGTGTGAAGCGTGCGGGGATACTGGCCACACTGCAGTTTGGGGATGTTGCTCTTTGCTCTGGTACTAACCTGGCTTCTCCCCTCTCCCCTCTCCCCAGCCCCACCTGCTGGACCGCGGTGTTTAATGCCATGCCCACCATCTGTTTTGGTTTCCAGGTACCACCATCTTTAGGCTTTTTATTCTTTTCCATTACACACTTGACAGTAATAATAATAAAGATAATAACCCTTAGCATTTGATTTGAGGTCTCAAAGCCCTTCACAGAATATACTGTAAAGTGAATTGACTGAATATTTTGTGGGTGAAACAAAGCAGCCAATTGCGCACAGCAACATCCGACAAACAGTTGTGGATTGAAGTAACTGAATTATTATTATTATTAATGTTGATGTATTTTCAAGGGGTTATAATCTGGGCCAATAGAAAAGTGCAGCTGAAATGTTTCTACAGATTCCGCTATAAACCGCCCCCTCGGCTACAAACACACTAAAAGGAACAATTGTGTACAGCTGTGTCCCACAAAACAGTCGTGGATTGAGTAACAAAATTATTATTTTTAATTCTGAAGGGATTATTACCCTCGGAAAAGCCATCCGCCAATCGACTAACACCGTGTTCCAGCTGACAGGCGAGTGTCCATTCCCAGTGATCCGGCTGTGGGATTTCCATGTGTGGGTGAGATGTGTGGAAATCTCAGTTTGGGGTTTGGATCCTCTGACGCACAGTGATGGGTCTCTCTGTGTGTCGGACCCCCGACTGAGCAGAGAAAGGTTTTGCTTTTAATGCGTATGTAGAGCAACATTGCCACCCTGTGGTGAGCACCCGGTACTGCAGGTCCGCGGCCTCTTTACAGCCCGGTATCCTCCGATCGTCACTATAAACCGCGCACTTACACAGGCCGTGGGGTGGGCCGCGCTGACC